AATGCACGCACACACAGTATTGACTACACTAACACTAATGTCATCTACAAACTGAACCTGCAGTGTGCCACTTTGCTGACCAGATACACTAAACGATTTAACAGCAATGACCTTTTAAAACAAATGCAAATCTGCTCAAAGCAACTTTGTTTAGAGCAAAAGAAAGATTGTCCAGCCCGAAACGTTTACCAGTGTGTTCCCACTCACTGTGACAAAAACAAAACAGAACACCACCTTGTTATTCACATGTAAGCAGTCAGACCAGTAAGATTTATTTTTTTATGGCAATCACCACATTGCTTTTCGTCCTGGAGGTGAATATTTTTATAGAGCCATAAAAAGAGAATATAACAACAAGCTTCACTGTAAATAAGAATGATTGTGTGTGTGTGTGTGTGTGTGTGTTAGGAGCTGAAATAAATCACAGAAAAAGAAAACGTTGGATGTCAAGGCGTTTTGTTTTTGTGTTTCAGTCTGGCTTGATTGTGGCGTGCTATAACGGCTATGTGGACGTGGTCATCGCTCTTTCTCAATGCCCGTATCTGGATGTTAACTGGCAGGACAATGAGGGGAACACCGCTCTTATAACTGCAGCTCAAGCAGGTAACCCCCCCCCAGGCCTTTGAATCAAATCCCACCGCAGTCCATACTTGCACACATGTTTTAAAAGCAGAGCTTTTGAAACTGAGTATACTTTTTAAATTTAACAGTCTAATCATTTAAATTCTTTCTTGTTATTCTTTTGCAGAATGTTTCTTGTTATGACAGCTTGCAAATGATTTTTTTTCTTGAAATAATAACAAATATTTCATCTTATATATCTTAAATTGTTCTTGTTTTTCTAAGAACAGTCTAAGTTACTCAGATCATACAATGTTTAGTAAAACTGTCATAACAAGTTTCTTCTATATGTTAAAGAAGCTGCGTGGCTGATTTGTATGTTTTAGATACAAAACTCCAACAGTAACATAAACAGTCAGATAATGAAGTAAAATATAAAATACATAATGCCGCTTAATGTATGCACAAGCTAATATGTTGAGCCGTAAGTTTGGTATGTGCACTGTTCCAGTGAAGGCTGGACTCTCTCTGCACTCCAATGTACGCTGCTCCTTTGTGGAAGAGCTACAGAGAGAGCAGTGTGCAGAAACTCACTGAAGCATATAATGATGGATTTAGGCTGATGCTCAAGTTGCAAAGGTGGAGCAGTGCAAGCCAAATGTTTGTTAGTGTTGGAGTTCCTACCTGTCATGCTATATTTCACAATCTGATGCACAGTTGTATGTGTAGCGTAAAGGACTCCAGAATGTAATTTGCATGTATGCATTTTATTTGCTCTTGTGTGTCTTTAATAAAGTGAAATTAACTAAACTATAGTGATAGAACAATAGAGAGGGACATAAGAGGGAAGTAAAAGTCAAGCAGGCTACATATGCTACTTAAATACATCCATCCATCTATTTGCTTCCGCTTATCCTTTTCAGGGTCGCGGGGGGCGCTGAAGCCTATCCCAGCTGTCATAGGGCGAGAGGCGTGGTACACCCTGGACAGGTCGCCAGTCTGTCACAGGGCTAACACACAGAGACAGACTACTTAAGTACAGTATAGTGTAAACGTACTTAGTCACATTCCAGCTTCTTCAATTTTTCTGATTTAAGCCAACTCAAATAAACTGAGTTGATCAGCTTTTTGAACGAAAAGTACTGGTAACTTAATTAAAGGTAATTAATATTTTTAATTAACGACAACATTAGGTTTATAAGGTATAAGGACATAGATGGTTTCTGATGGATTAATGGTTCTATTTATATTGTTTATTAACTATGTTCTGATACAAGATGAAGCAATCACATCGTGTGTGCGCGCGCATGTGAGAGCATGTGTTCCTGTCTAGCTATCTTTGTGAGGCCTGAAATCTGCATTTTATTATACTTGTGAGAACCAACAGTCACTTGTGAGGACACACACACCGGTCCTGACAAATTTGAAGGCCTTTTTGAGGCTCAAAATGTGGTTTTGGTGTCAGGGTTACAATTAGGTTATGGTTGGGTTTAGGGTAAGGGTTAGGGTTAGGCATTAATTTTTAATGGTTAGGTTTAGGGTAAGGGGCTAGGGAAAGCATTATGTCAATGAAGGTCCTCACTAAGATAGCTGAACGGGCTTGTGTGTGTGTGTGTGTGTTGTGTGTAAAAGCCCTCCATGGTAATCACATTCTATATGTCATTGATACATCGTATAGAATGTGATGATGTCACAGCTCCAGAGCTGTGTTTTCTCCACAAACACGACTTCAGTTATGTTACAGATTGCTAATGTTGATCTGTAAATGTGATTTTCTTCCAACCTTGCAAATGTTCCATCAACAAATGCAGAAAAACATGCGACTCTGTAAAGCCCAAAGATCCCAGAATACGTTGGAAAGTCTTTCCGATGAAACCTTTTGGTTTAAATTGAAAGACGTGACCACCTACGGCCATCTTAAGATGGAAATTTACACAGTGGGTAACTGTATCCCAAAATTCTGGGAGGATGAAAAATCATCTGTGCCACAGATAGAGCAGATCGTTTTTGAAGAACGCTTCTGGACCATCATGGAAAACGAAGTCCTGTGTGCCCACATCCAACACGAAGCCTTCAAGGTGGCTGATCTGATCAGGAGAGAATGTGAGAGTCGAAAGAAGCCAGCAAGACAAAAGAAGAATGAAAAACCAGCCAAGCTGCGCCAAAGGACAACTTCTTGTCCGTTCTGAAAAATTCTGAAGAGCACGCTCACCTCCAGAAGGAAGCAAATAAAGTGGCTGAGCTGATTAAGAAAAGGGACAATCTTTTGTGTATTCGTGTTGGTATGAAGACTGTAATTAAGTTACGTTTCAAAGCTCATTTTTATTTCTCCATGACATCAACAAGCATCTGAAATGTAGTGGGCAAACTGCACCTTGCAAAGGCCATCACTGTGTATTAGAGGAAATCATCAGGTATCATAAATGTGCTTCAGTTAGCTAATGGGGCCCATGGACATGACTAAATTCAGTTTCCTTTTTTACTGCAACATCTTCATTTGCAGCTTTCCTGTGTGTCTAAATGAAAAGCATGAGATCAGGTTAATTTATAAACTTGGGTTGTCCATGCAGTATGTGTTGATTCATTATCACAAAAACAAAAGGCAAATTACAAGAAGCTATATTTGGCTTAAACTCTACATAAAGGCACACAAAGTCTGTTTACTTCAGTTCATCACTGTGTAGTCATGCAGTGATGGACTATGTAAATACTCCCTTCCACGCATTTTAATTATTATTATTTTTTTAATATGGAGATCTGTAAACCCTCAAAAGCCAAATATTTAATTGAAATACTAATCGAAGCAGGTGATTACATACTGAAGGCATGAGTAGCATCACATGTCGCTTTTATTTAAAATGTTTCTTTTAAGTTTGTTTCCAGGGTAACTTGCCGATTTCAGCAGCTTATTCACTGGGAGACCAATCCACGGCCTGGAAGCGTGTTTGGGATGATTGTCACACTGCAAAATGAAGCTGTTGAAAGTCAGATACTTTCCTGATAGTACTGTGCAGTGAAACAAAATCTGACAAGATCCTCACCAGCACTGGCTGAAATGCATCCATCACACCATCACAGAGCGTCAGACACTCCCTGTTACTCCTCTGTTCACAATACTGACAATGATTTGAACCCAAATTTTTAAGTTTGACTTCATCTCTCCATAAAACCTGTTGCTGCTGATTTTCAGTCCAAAGAAAAACTCATCAGAAAGACGACAGAACTATTGCTTGAGACCACTTTAAACGTGACAAGAACGTCTGGTTCCTTAGAAGCAAAACAGAAAGAAATGGGGGGTGGCTCAAGACTTTTGCACAGCTCTATACAGTGGAAGAAAATCTACCGCATAGAAATGAGTCACACCGATTTTAATAGATCCAAATTATGATTTGTGTTGTATAATGGGGTCTGGTGGTTCCCATTGCAAGAATCACCATTATTTGCTCACATTAATCCGTACCATCATAAGTAATTTCATAGTGTTGCAGCCACATGTATCAGACATGGCGCCCTGGCCTCTCATCTGCTAACAATGATGAATGGCTCACTGCGGCCAGTGATGAATAGCTGTAGGCTGCTCTTCATTTTCTGCTTCATTAAAAAAGTATCGATCCTTTTTCACACAAAAATCTTCAGCAGCACCTCAGACGACTCAGTCGACCACCACGACACACTGCACCATCACAAAAGTGCTTCCTGACCCTTTACTAAACTCTAGACTAAACTCTAGACTTAGTTTGGGAATCAAGGCAGTAATGAATTTATGTCCAGCCCAATGCTAAAACTGTATTGCACTCACATCCTTAGCCTTAGCCTGGTTTTGCTCATTTAGGAATGTTGCAGCCAATTGCTCTGCATTTCTAAGAAAATATATTTGAAAAAGTCTCATAATTACTACATTCTGATCTTAATGCACACTAAACAGTTTTGCTTGATGACTGAAATGAAAAAACAAGTGAAAAGGATACGCAAAGTAATGACATTAAAGATGAAAGTGTGTAAGTGTTTTAAAAATAATAAGATCATAACTAAGATTTTTTAAAAATATGTGTAACACAAGTGTGATATGTATTTTTAGATTCTGCATGGCAACACTTTTCAAAGTGCTGTCTCAAATAAACCTGAAAGAGACGATTCAGATGTTAGAATGAGTAGCTTTAGTGTTGTTTTTTTAATTAAAATGCTTTCACATAAAATCATGTTATCAGCTAATGCTAGCAACCCTGGTTAACAAGTTGCATCCATACACTGTATGGGAGCAACACACATAAATAAACGAATAAAATATAATTTTACTCACCAAAACAGGAGCACAAACTTCAACAGCACCACAAAAAGGTCTGATTTAATGACTGGAATTAGCAGAAGTGAGGCCCTGCAGGAGCACCTGCCTGTGTTGGCACACCTGTCATAGCAGTCATGCTGCAAACTTTAAGACCAAACAAAGTCATGAAAGGTTAATTATAAAAAAGATTCAGGTTCGGCACATTTGTTATGGAGGAGGACATTTGCTCTGGACTGAAAGTGATTTTTCTCTCTATTTTCATTGATGACGTTGGGCGTTTCAACGCTGGAGCCTATGGGGAACGACTCACTTTTGAAGCCAGACTCAAGTGGCCACTAGAGAAAACGCAGTTCTTTTGACATTTTAGAAATGGCTTCATGTTTCAGCCACTGGAGACTGCAACTTAATGTCCACTGTGTTTTCAGAAAAATGTCATAGAAGTATCGTAGAAAGAAGAAGGAGAAAGCGATTGCTGGAATATACAAATGCAATCCTTTCATAACATGTGTTTTTTCTTGTGCAGGTCATGCCATCATTTCCAACTACCTACTAAACTACTTTCCTGGTCTGGACATCGAGAGGAGGAACTGTCACGGTTTCACAGCTTTGATGAAGGCTGCCATGCAGGGCCGGGCTGAGTGTGTTAGAGCGATCATGTTGGCAGGTATATAAATGCAATAAAGATCATAAAAGCCCCAACACAGAGGGAACAAAGAAAACATTTCTAAAAATTATTGTGATTTTCAAAACAATCCCGCCCACATATCCATACAGGAGGTGATATCCAGGCTCGGGACTTTGGCCGGAAAATGACACCCAAGGAGTGGGCGCTCTTCACCGGTCGGTATGAAACAGCCCGCCTGATGAGTCGGCTGATGTCCAACCCGTGTCCTGAGCAGTTCTGTGACTCCTTCTCCCTGGAGTGGCCACTGCTGGAGGTTAATACATGTTTCTTAATTTTGGATCAACTGTTGAAGGCACCGCATTTAAAATATAATCCAATTTTCAAGTTAAATGTTTCTTTTTTAAATGAAATATTTGGTCTTCTACAGGAGTTGGTGGCCCAGGCCCAAGAGCCAAAGACCTGTAAGCAGCGTTTGATCAACCTTCTTTCCTGCTGCCCTTATAGATTTTACATCAACAACAAGGTAAAACCTATGGAAGATGGTGTCCTTGAACACATGGTCCGGATCACCACGGGACTGTCCAGTCCGCTTATCGCCACAGCTTGCCGCACGGTGTGCCCGAGCAGCCCGCCGTGCATCGGAAAACGTCGTCACGCGGTGCAGGAGATCATAAAGAGGCAACGTCTGGCGGAGCTGAAGCGCCTGGGCCCAGAGAGGCTAAACAACTACAAGAAACTTTTCCAGAACTCACGGATCCTCCTCATCCCCAGGGAGAAGGATCGGAGGGCCAGTCTCCAGCCTCAGCTGCTAAGCAACATGGCAGCGGCATCCACAGTGGCCATAAGACGAGCCAGCCTGTTGCCACTCCATATGCTGAGGAGAAGCAGTGTGAGGCCGGGCCTAGTGGTTCCCAAGGTGAGGCTCTGCAAGGCCCCAGCTCCAAACTACAAACCAGAAAAACTCAGAAGGAACAGTAACCAGAACCAGCTCCAGATACCCAAGTGGGATTATAAAATGAAGAAAATAGAGAGGATGCGGGAGGAGGAGCGGCAACGACTGCTACCCCTGATTAGGAGACGATGAAGGACCAAAGAAAGCTAAAGGAGGCGTGACTTACTGTAGCTTCAAAGTGCTCAGTGTAAATCTTGACATGGCTCTCAAAATGCATATTCTTGCAGAAAAAGACACTTTGTTAATGTAGACCAAACTGCTCATCGTTTCTTTGTTAGGGTTTCCTGCAATGTTGCCTTTTTTCTACTTGAAACCACTCTTACTTTTTAAGGTGCACTTTGTGCTGGAATGTGGCAGATATGGGAGCACAAGAAAAATATCATGTACATGTAACATAATATCTCTTATTTGTATGTCTGTTGGTATGCTGACAACATTCATTGTGTATTATTATGCATTCTATGGAATGTGGCAGAGAGTGGTGAGATGCTTACTCAAAAAAAGGAAAACATCACGCATTACTCATTACTTTTCTTAAAA